ATTGCAAACTGTACAGGTAGGTCAGGTAACTTGCAGCAACCGAGTCCTGTGTTATCAGGACTTTGACATATATATTTTTAAAGAACATAGCCAATTTATTTAGTTTATTTTTATTTATTTATTGTTTAAGACAAGGTCTTGTCCTGTCACCCAGGCTGGACTGCAGTGACACAATCTTGGCTCACTGAAACCCCCACCTCCCAGGTTCAAGTGATTCTCGTGCCTCAGCCTCCCAAGTAGCTGGGATTACAGGCATGTGCCACCATACCTGGCTAATTTCTGTATTTTTAGTAGAGATGGGTTTTCACCATGTTGGCCAGGCTGGTCTCAAACTCCTGGCCTCAAGTGATCTGCCCGCCTCGGCCTCCCAAAGTGTTGGGATTACAGGCGTGAGCCACCGTGCCCGGCCAGGACTCTGATATTTTTATTTTCACATTACAGATGAGCAAAGTGAGGCTCAGAAAGGTGATGTGGTCACCCTAGCTCAGAAAATTCAGAAGAGGAAGAACCTAGAGGGAGATCTAGGTTTGTGACTTCTGGTGTGATGTACATTCACATCAGCCAGAGTCCCTCCTCTTTTTCCTCTCCTTGGGGATCATGCTGCTTTTCCCACCAGCTCTTTCCCAGGGGCTGGGAGAAGCAGGCCCTTTCCCTGTGAGGCTCGGGCTGCAGTCCTTTGCTTCAGATGGAGACCATGCTTGTTCCTGCTTTTCTATTTCTAGCTGCCTGACCTTTTTGCATGTCCTTTGTTGAAAGCTACTATAACAGCTTTTTAGAAAGCGGTTGGGCATAGATAAATCCAAGAAAAAAGTCGAAACTCTCCTCCTTGAAGTCACCCCAAACCCAGATGGAGGCATCCTTCCATACCGCTTCTTGAACCCCCGCTCCCAAATTCATCTTTCCTGGGCATGCGGCCCCGTCAGCGCCCAGCGTGGTTTCCTGTTCTGAGGTCCACTTGGCAGGGCCCCCCGAATGCAAATCCTACCACTGCATCCATCACCCTGTCTTGTCAGCTGTTTGGTCTTCTCTAAAGATATTTTGAATTGCCCATTTTTCTCAGGTCCCCTGGGGCCAGCCACAGCTCAGCAGAGTGGACCCGGCACTCTGAGTCCTCATTCCATCTATATACGCCGCCCTCCCTAAGCAGAGTCCCTCTCTGTCACCCCCCGTGCCATTCCCCCAGAACCACCTGCTGGTTCACTCTCATCTGAGAGGCGGTGAGAAATAGAGTAAAACATGAGTCAGACAGGCTGAGAGTGCTGAACATCCACACAGTGGGAGTCTCTGCTGCCATTTAAAGATGTCCATAATATATTGTCGAGAAAGAATGGCAGATCAGAAAGCGCATGCCTGTTACTATCTTTTTTATATAATAACATCTGTGTATATATGAGCATATGCATTTTTTTGGTCTGAAAGACTATTCACTGCAATGTGAATAGTAGTTATCTCAGTAGTGAAATTTCAGATGCTTCTGACTCACATCTTTAGGTTTTCTGTATTGCCTGAATATTTTTACATGAACATGTATTATTTTTAATAACCAGGGAAAAAATCTATTTTCTCAAGAAAATAAAAGCCAGAAGTCATCAAGGACTATAGATGAGAAATAAAGGTCACTTTCTGTTCTTAGCATTATTTTTATAACTGTACATCACAGAGTTTGGGAAAGGGCTTTGAACTTGAAATCTTTTCCTGCTGATTTATTCAAATAAAAATGCTCATGCAGTGGAGGACGAGGGGGGAAGAATTGGGTTGAGTTTACCAGGGCCAAGGAGGAGGGGATGTCGAGCCAAGCTTTGAATAACAGAAATTCCAAAGAGAAGAAGAACACAACCTCCAGCAACAAACACTAACATTTAGTGTTATATCTGATGCCCATGCAGTGTGTGCGACTGTGTGTGCACGAGTATGCATGTATGCTTGCGCACGTGTGAGTGTATGTACATGCCCACACATGTAAGCCTGCGGCAGCCTTGACCATGTAATAAATTATGAAGCAAGTGGCTAATTGAGATGCCCATGGTCAGCGGTTGCTGCAGTCAGAGTGGGAAGGACCCAAGAAAGTATAAAAACTACAACTCCTCTGCCTGCCCAACTCCTCACCTTCCTCCTCAGCCTCTCTTGTCCTCACCCAGACTCAGGGCGCAGGAGGGGTAACTGAGGCGTAGAGCGAGGGAAGCAGCAGGGAAGAGGACCTGGTCAGTCAGAACTCCTGTGTTCTGTCACTCTGTCTGAGGCCTCCCTTTCACCCTCTCCCTCTTTTGACTCAAGAATCCCAGGTCCCTGGAACCCCCCAAAAGCAGGAGAGAGGGGGAAGAATCAGTCAACTGAGGATCAATATTCTGGACTACTAGTTAGTAAACCCAAATACACATTTAAAAATTAAAGAATAAGCCCTCCCATGTGCACAGCTCTTCCAAGTTTACACTGATTTCTCCTTTTACCCTCTCACTATTCCTGAGAAGACGTCAATAATGCCCACTTTACAGGCGGGGAAACAGGCTTAGGAGGAGGAATTTGCCTACGTTCACACAGCTGAAAGGCTGCAGCTGGGACCCAGAGCTGGTCTCTTAACCGACCACCTGGTGATCTTTCCATAGCTACCTTTATGTCTTTAAAAAAACATGTTTCAAAAGTAATATCACCCAAGCACCATGTGTTCATTAGGGGAAAACACCTAAGGGAAGAATAATGAAAATCACAGTGCTTTCAGATGAAGTTAGGGAGGTCCTGAGTGGGGGGTGGGTGATGGGCGGCTGTCAGAAGGAATGGAGCTCCCCTTGGCAGCACCCAGGGCTTTTTCCTGGAGCTAGTCCAGAAATGGGTGCTGGAGGCAGCAGGTGGGTTCTGAAGAGGCTATGTAGAGACGGACATTGGCAAAGAGGAGCCTGGTTAACAGTACAGGCCTCAGAGCCTCACAGACCTGGATTTGAATCCAGGTGCTTTCCTCCATTTACTAGCTGTGTGACCATGGACAAGTTACTAAACCTCTCTGAGCCTGAGTGTTTTTCTCCATCTGTAATGTGAGAATGAGAGTAAAGATGAAATGAGATAACTTGTCTAAAACACTTGGCACAGTTGCTGATGCAGAACAGGTGATTAGCAAGTGTTAACTCATCATCGTCGTCGTCATCATCATCATCATCGTTATTTGGAAATGCAACATTTAAAGCACCTGCCAGGCATGGTGGCTCACGCCTGTAATCCCAGCACTTTGGGAGGCTGAGGCAGGCGGATCACTTGAGGTCAGGAGTTCAAGACCAGCTTGACTAACATGGTGAAATCCTGTCTCTACTAAAAATATAAAATATAAAAATTAGCCAGGTAAAGTGGTGGGTGCCTGTAATCCCAGCTACTCAGGAGGCTGAGGCAAGAGAATTGCTTGAACCTGGAAGGCGGAGGTTGCAGTGAGCCGAGATCGCGCCACTGCACTACAGCCTGGGTGACAGAGCAAGACTCCCATCTCAAAAAAAAAAAAGAAGAAGAAAAAGAAAAAGCAAGCACCTAAGAGCCCACTGCAGCTTGTTCACAGATGTGAAAACCTGGGTATCCGTGGGCTGGGAGTGGGAAGAAACTCCCCTTTCTCCATGGCTGGACCAGTCCCCCAAGGCTCCCTGAAGGAGGTCCTCTTCAAGGTTAGATAGACAAAGGCCAGGAACACAGATGTAGGGAGGCAGCTGCTTGGCTTTGAGGGAAACCAGGGGCCTTGGAGATGACCAAGGGTCCAGACGGGCCTCTTGCTCTTCCTCTTTAGGACATGTGGGGCATTGGCAGCCCCCGGCAGCACTGGCATCTCCCTTCCTCTCATGAATATGAGCCATCTCATGAGGCCTCGCTCCAGATAAGCTGAGTGTGTGAGCAAACTCACCCCGCAGTGAGGGGAGCAGGATGGGCTGGCCTGTGCAGCCTAAGGAGGGCCTGCAGGGAGGAGGGGAGAGGGCAACAATTGGGACCACCCCTTTCCTAGACTCCTCCTCCACCCAACAGGCAGAACGCCCCCTTGGAAACGCTCAGGCCCTTGACTAGAAGTGTCCAGAGCTTTTCCTAATGTTAAAAGTTCTCAAGAGGAGATAAGGAGATTTCCAGGACTTTCCAGGGTCCAACACTCATTTGTTTCATTATCACACTCCTCATACAAGTTTTTTTTCTTTTTAAAATCTAACTTAATCTTTGCTACTGCAGCCTGGCCAGATGCTATCACACCAAGCTCCTCTGTCCCTCCAGCATCCCCCATGGCTGACCTGCCCACGGGGAGGCAGGCTGCAGGCTTCCCTGCCCTGTGTGGGTCCCATGTCCCCGGCGGAGCCCTGCACTGGGCTCTGCACATAGCAGGCACAAGGGCTCTGGAGTGCCCATGCATACTCGCCCCTGCAAGCACCTGCTGATCTCTCCCTGCAGATGAGGGCTAGAGGCTGGGTCCTGTTTCCACAGAAAGAAGGAAGGGAAGAGGGAGAGAAGTTGGAGAAGAGGTAAAGAGAAACGGAGGCTGAGCCCAGACAGTGGGAAGAACACTGTGGGGAGGAATGCCTGGACCCACATTCTGGCTTGTGAGGTTCAATAAGCCAGCCCTCTCTCTGGGCTTGAATGACTCTGTAAATTGGGAGAAGGCTGGGGAAGATTGAAGCTGAAGGTTCCTTCAGCTCTGGGATTCACTGAAATGAGGGAGTGGGGTGTTTCTAAGCAATGCAGAGAAGGGGGCCCCCACAAAAGGGTAAATGGAAAACAGGACACAGCCCTGCTTCTGTTTGTAGTCCTGAGCGTCTAACTCTGTCCCCACCCCAACACTGGGGACCCCCATCACCCAGGCCTAAGTGGGAGCTCTTTAACCTTCTCCCGCTTCCCACCCCTATCCCTGAACCGGTCCCCATCCCCGCCAAGAGGCAAGCAGGTGGCGGGAGCTGCAAGACCGAGACCGGCGGCGTCTTGGCTGGTCTTGGCTGGGAGCCCGGTGGGGCGTGGGCACCGAGCGGCCTGCTGGCGGCTGAGCGGGGCGGGTGGAGCGAGCGGCGGGCTCTGGGCTTCGGGCTCCGCGCCCAGGGGTGGGCAGCCTGCTCTGCGCCAGCGGCGTCGGCCCGGAGATGAGCGGGGTCTGGCTGCATCCTGAGGCAGGGGGTTCTTGGCAAGGTGCGCTGGGTGTCAGGAGCACTGGAGAGCCCAACCAAAGTCAGGAAGGACAGAGCTAGCCCCTAGGGAGGATGGCCGCAGGGTGCGGGAGGCTGTAGGTGGACCTGGGCTGGGGGCTGCTTGGAGGGAGAATCCTGCCCTCCATGAAGCCCCAGAGGCATCAGAAAAGCCCTGTCCAGCCAGGACCCTCTATCCTGGTGGTGGGCATGGCGCAGTCCATCCAGAAGGTTCCCAGGAAGTCACTGGCCTTACCTGGACACCCTGTCCTAGAGGGAGGAGTGAGGGTGGAGGATGGAGAAGGGCGGAGTCTGTCCCTTCACTCCCTTCACCCTGAGTCCAGAGATAAGGACAGGATGGGGGATGGGGGTTGGACAGTCCCCCTTCCACTGTCCCTAGGGTGGGAATTTGAAGGTTTTTTGTTTTTGTTTTTGTCTAAAACTTGAAGAGCAGAGAAGGTTCTGGATGGGCCAGTCTCACCCTGCCACTACCCTCCTTCAGGACACGACTCCCCAGGGGGCTCCAGTGGAAACGGCATTGGGGGGTTGGGGAGTATGTGGCATCCAGGTGACTTCTGGCCTCTGGACCGGAGGGAGGTGGGGTCCAGATCCCCATCCTTTGGTGAGCAGGCCCGGCACTGAGGAGGTTGTTCCCCTCTTCTGCCAGCCTTGGCCACACCTTGCCCCCAGGGCCTGTGTGGCACAGGGCCACAGCTTTGGAGGCTTTCACACATCTTTTTTCTTGTCTCTCTCATCTACCTGTCTCCATGGGAACAGCCTTCAGGGCTGGCAGAGGTGACTGAAGTCTGTGGCCCTCAGACCTGAGAAGGGTCTGGCCACCCCTGGCTGGTGAGAATCGAGTCAGTTTCAAGATGCTGCCAAGGTAATAAGGAGTGGGGAGAACCTGTAGCCACCCCCTCCAATGGCCGGCCGGATTCCTCCTTACAATATCCTTCCAGCCTCGCTTGAATTCTGCCAGTGACCAGGAACTCAGTGCTTTGCCAGGCTGCTTATTCACTGTCAGCCAGTAAGCAGTGAGGACTATCCCCTCCCAGCCCACTGTACCCTGGGCCATGTTGGGGGAAAGGCCACAGAAGAACGGAGGCAGGAGCTCCGCTCTGCACCCCTCAATGTTCCAGAATGCACTGAGAAACCCCAGGCTGTTGCCCTTGAGTCACTCCATGAGGCTCTGACTCTGTCTTGAGAAATGGTGTCATGCCCAGTGGGAGAGGCGAGACGGGGATCCTGGGGTCTGGGTTCTGGTCCAGGCTCTGCCATGGATTTTCTTCTCATTTGTGGGCCTCAATCTTGCCACCTGCAAAATGGGAGGAATTAGGATTGAATTATTTACTTAGGGCCTTCAAAGTCCTGACTTCCAGTGTTCTGTGTTTTATTTGCTATTAGGGTAAAGGATCAGGCGTAAGGAACCATCACCAATAGCCCCAAACAGGTTTTTTGTTAGTTTTTGTTTTTTGTTTTTGTTTTGTTTTGTTTTGTCTGTATCTCTTGGTTAGCAGAGATGGATTTCTGCAACACGCATCTAATCCCAGGGTTGCTGCCTGCATGTGGGACACAGCACCTTTGTGTGTCCCCATAGGCTTTGTCCAGGTTCTTAGGCTTGTCTGAGTCCTGTTCTTTTTTCCAGAAACTGCATCTTCCTCAAGCCATGGTGGATTTCTCTCTCTTCTTTTGTCCCATAAGTTACCCCAGCCCATCTCCCAGGTGCCCTGTGCACCCTGGATCCATCCCTCATCCTGACTCCAGGAACTCTGGCCTCCTTCCTGCCTCTAAATCCCAGAGGAACTACCTTTCTCTCCACTGTCTGCTTTTCCCTTCCTGGAACCTAATTCTGGGAGTTCTCCTTCCTACCAGGGCTGAGGAGAACAAAGGTGCATTTTTTCCTACGTGGGGTTTGTTCATTCATTCACTCACTTAGTCACTGTGGCAGCCACTGTTGGTTGCACTAATGAGGATAATCCTGTCTTGTCCCTGTGGCCCTCCCCCAGCTTCCTGCCCATGGGCATGACTATGTGACATCGTCATGACTGGAACAGTGCTAGCCGACCTGTGACCATGACGTGTCAAGCTCAAGAATAAAACTCAACACGTGAAGACGGTGAAGCAAAAAGCTGGAATGAGCCTGGGGTCCCTGATGACTGATTTGCTGTCAAACCGACCCTGAAACCACCCCCCTCCATACTTCCTGTTGAGTACACAAATGTCATACAGTTAAAGCTTTATAAATGAAGTATTGTGGTCTTTTGCTGTCACTATAACAGCAAAAATTTAGACATTCATGTAATTGGCCATTCACTTACTCATGAATTCACTCACACATGCATTCACCTTCTTGTTGCATTGATTAGGATAGAGGTTCAGATGCCCTAACAGAGATATCCAAATAGCAGTAGCTAAATTAAATATAAATGTAGTTTTCTCTTATGTAACAGTCTGGCTGTAAGTAGTCAAGGGCTGGGATGTCAGCTCCAAGATCTCAGGGACCCAGGACACTTCTAGCTAGTTGCTCCAACATCCCTGGGGTGTTCTCTTGTCCATATGGTTGGTCCAGTATGTTTCACCAGCATGTCACACTTCAACTGGAGGAAAGGAGGAAAGGTAAAGGGAGGGCCTGGTTCTTTTTTAAAGATATGACCCAGAAGTTAAATATCCCACACGTTGCTCACATCTCATTGACCAAAACTTAGTTATATGGCCACTCCTAGCTGCAAAGGAAGCTGGGAAATGCATATTCTATTCTAGGGTGCTGTCTGTCCAGCTATAAATTATGTTTGTCTTGTAATAAAAGAAGGCGAGAAACAGGTATTGGTGGGGGGAGGAGGGCAATTGGCAGTCTTATTAATTTTTCTCATTCACACCATTCATTCATTCATTCATTCAATAAACATATTGGATACATACTATGTCAAAAGCACTGGGTTAGATGCCAGGATCCTAGATTTCAGGTTCCTCATGGTCTAGAGGGAGGATAAGGCAAGTCTAGACATTTGAATCCAACAACCTTTGTGAGCACCTGCTCTGCCCATACATCCAAACTGAAAAGCAAAAAGCACCAGTGACATTATGTTTTAGGTCAGTCACTGTCCCCTTTGACTACCTGCCCCCTCATGTCCCCTCTTCCTGAGCCCACGAAGGGAGGACAGTGACAACAGCAAGTGAGAACACGCCCCTCAGAACAAATGTTTGCTTAGGAAAATCCTTCTTGGTTCCTGACTAGAATCCTGTTTGCTGAAATGTGCTCTCACTTTTTGTTTTTGGGTATGATGGCCATTTGTATTGGCCTCTGCCTTGGGGCCTCATCAGATGCTAGCAGTGTGGGGAGCAGTGGAGAAGACACGGACCTCCTAGCAGTGGTCCTGCCTGCCAAAGAAAGGCTGTCAGTTTCCCACCCTTGGGGTAGCATGGGGGCTCAGTGTCTTTGGGAAGCAGAGATTCTGTGAGAATGGTCCCTACTGTGTGCCTGTTACACAGCGAGTGCACCGTGGGAGTCTGATAAATGGATGGATGAAGAATCAATGGATGCACAGTAGGTAGATTGTATTTTTCAATATGGACCTCAGAAATATTTCTGGTCCTATGTTAGCTCTTCCATGACCTGGAAACTCCTCATCAAAAGGTAGATCTGTTTTCTCTCCTCTTGAAATGGGGCCGATTTGTGACTGCCTCCATCAATAGAACACTTTTGCAGAAGTGACACTGCACAGCTTTGGAGGCTAGGTCATAAAAGGCACATAGCTCTGCCTGTGTCTGTCTGTTTGTCTATCTGTCTTTCAGGAGAGCCCAGTCACCATGCTAAGAGAAAGCACAGGCTGTATGGAGACACCACATGTTTTAAACAAAACCCAAATAAAGTCTCAGCCCATAACCAGCACCAGCCCCCAACTATGTGAATGAGTGAGTTTGAGATCATTCCAGCCCCCATCCTTTCAGCCAGCCCAGATGGTGCTGGGTGGAGTAGAGAGATCTTTCCCACACCACATCCTGCCCAAACTGAAGAATCTTGAGCAAAAGAAATGCTGCCATTGTTTTAAACCACTAAGTTTTTGTAGTGGTTTGCTCTGCAGAACAGCGTGGTAGATTTCAAATGGCCACACATTCTTTGCAGTGCCTCCCGCCAAGAGATGGCATCTATTTCCCTACCTCTTGAATCTGGACTGGCTTTGACTAAGAGAATACACCTGCAATGATGTTGCGCAACTTCTGTTTTCACTTTCTTGCTGCCCTGAGACTGCCATGTGAAAGGGCCAAACTATCCTGCCGGATCAAAGTCCAGCCAACAGTCAGCACCAACCTCCACACATGTGGGTGAGTTCACGTTAACCATCCTGCCCCAGTCAAGCCACTGGCTGCAGCCACATGAATGACCCCAGGAAGAGCCCAGACCAGATCGCTGACCACAGAATTGGGAGTAAATAGCATCGTTCTTGTTTTAAGCCACTTCGCTTAGCACACATCAATAGATAACTGATCACATCAACTTCCTGTTTCCCAAGAGGTATTTTGCATGCCCACGGTTGTGCCAGGTGTGGGGATGGGCATAGTAGAAAACGATATTCTAGTCCTCCAAGAGTTGATTGCTTGGTGAATCAAGGCTCACACTGGAGTAGATTGCTAGTAGACAACGCAGATTCATTCTCCCTTCCTTGTGCTGATAGAACTGCAGGCCAGGCGCTCATGGCTGCCCAGCTGCACCGTGCTTCCCAGCCTGCCTTGCCAAGCTCTCTCCAATGGCAAGTGAAAGGACGTGATGGAGGCTACTTCAGTCCCGAGCCTGCAGGGCAGTGTGGCTGTCCTTCACTCTAGGGGAATGGTGGAGGAACAAGATGGAAGGAGCCAGGGTCTCCACATCACCTTTAGAGAAGAGCTGCTTACCACCCTAGACTCAGGCTGCTATGGGGGAGGTTATAAACCTCTCATGCATATCTGGGTTTTGGATTCTCTATTACAGGATTAGTTTTACCCCAGTAGTACAGCCAGTCTCTCCTGCAAGGCGGCCTTCAGTGCCCATGTCTCTTCTCCAGACTGGAAGCTTGAGCTGGGGCTGAGGACTGGGAGGCAGTGGGTAGTGGGTGGTGCTTCCTTCCTGCTACAGCATGAGTCCAACAGAGCAGGGACTTTTGTTCTTTCTGTTCACAGCTATATCTCCAATCCAGTGCTGGAACACAGCATGACAGATAGATGATTAATAAATATTTCTTGATGGGTAAGTGAACCAGGGCAGAAATAGTGTTTCCTCATAATTCTAGGGGATTCCTAAGGAAAAAGCTTATGTCTCCTGCCTCAGGCTCGGAGCTTCTCTGGTACAGAGGCTGTGTCTCCCATCAGACTGGGGCTCCCTGAGGACGGGGCTGTGTCTCCCTCAGACTGGGAGCTCCCTGAGGACAGGCTGTGTCCCTCAGACTGAGGCTCTGAGGGAGGCTGTGTCTCCTTCAGGTGGGGGCTCCCTGAGGATGGTAGGGCTGTGCTCTCCCCTCCAGACTGGGGCTCCCTGAGGAGGGCTCGTCTCCCCCTCAGACTGGGAGCCTAGGGGCAGGGCTGTGTGTCTCCCTCAGACTGGGAGCTCCCTGAGACGGGGCTGAGTCTCCCCTCAGACTGGGGGCTCACAAGGGCGGGGGGAGCTGTGTCTCCCACTCAGACTGGGGCTCCCTGAGAGGACGGGGCTGAGTCTCCCCCTCAGACTGGGGCCTGAGGGACGGGGCTGTGTCTCCCTCAGACCGGGAGTTCTGAGGCGGGGGCTGTGTCCCACCCCCTAGACTGAAAGACTGGGGCTCCCTGAGGACGGGGCTGTGTCTCCCTCAGACTGGGGTTCCCTGAGGACGGGGCTGTGTCCCCCTCAGACTGGGGGTCCCTGAGGACGGCGCTGTGTCTCCCCTCACACTGGGGCTCCCTGAGGACGGGGCTGCATCTCCCTCAGACTGAGGCTCCCTGAGGAGGGGGCTGTGTCTCTCTCAGACTGGGGCTCCGTCTCCCTCAGACTGGGGCTCCCTGAGGAGGGGGCTGCATCTCCCTCATACTGGGGCTCCCTGCATTAAGGCTTCCTCCTCCCTGATTTTGCAGGTTTGGAGCAGAGTATTTAGGCGGCTACGTCACACAGGGCAAGACTCGGGTCTGTCCCCACTGTCTCCCTGCCAGGGCCCCTTGTGGCGTGGGCAGCGACTGTGGCGGGGGCTGCAGATGGCATCCAGTGATGCTCGAGGGTGGTTAAGTACCCTTGGAATGAAGTTTAGGCTCATTAAAGCTTGTTCGAAAGAAGAGCCAATTAGGGAGGCAATTTTCCTTGAGCAGTCTGAAGAATGGAGTAAAACGGTGGCCGATCAGACAGGAAGCCAGCATCCGGCCTCCTGTTCGGCTGGCCTGCTGGGGGCTCTAGTCCACCTTCTTACCTCCTGGGAGCCCCCAAACACCTGGACGTGAGCCAGTGGGTAGAAATGGGGGCAATCAAGCCCCACAGAGACCCCAGAGCTCTGGGGGTCTCCAGGAGCAGCCCCTCTGCTCTGCAGCACTCCACAACTTAACTCCAGCTTGTCAGCCTCATACTCCTGGCTGTTGGGGAAGTTCTTCTTGATCACTAATTGCCTGCTTTGGGGTTGAAGTTTCTTTCTATTATATCCTTTGTGAGAAAGGAAAATAGGAAGCACTTTTAGGAGAGACTCAGAGGCTCCCCTTCACCTTCCCTTCTCCACCCCGGAAGTCTGTGCCTTGTCACGGGCAGATGGGGGAAAGGTGGTTTTCTGGGAGTTCTGTGTTGGCCAGGACTTGATGGGAAGCAAATGAAAGAAACCCCATTGAAATGATTGAACGAAGGCAATAAAGTGTTTGATGAGAAGGATTCAGAAGATCTCTCATAGTCAAAGGAAGGGAGCCACCGGCAGGAAGGAGAGCCTTAGAGACATCTGGAACCCAGGACTGGGACGCTGCCACCGCTCTATTTGTGCTCTGGTACCTGCTCCTGTGCCTATCGACCTGAGTGCCTCAGACCGTCTCCCTCACATGCTAGGTGATGTGCTGCTGGCTGCAGCCCCCTTACTTTCTCATGTCTCATGGTATTGCCATCAGATAAGAGCTGAACATGTCCCAGCTCCAGTTTGAGAAATGCCAGGGAAGAATTCCAGTTGGCCCAGCTTTGAGCATTGGCTCAGCTTTCAACTGCACATCTGATGGCCAAGGGGTGGGGACCCATGATAAACACCCTCTAGTAGAACCACAGAGCTGGGGTGCTGGGGTCAGTTC